TGCTAAATTTCCCAAGATTTTTACGACAACAATCTACTGGTTAAATCTGCATCTAGGAGACGACTACATTGCTGATGTGTTTTTTAAGTTAAACAGAGGTGCTTGGAGGGACTACATTGTTTAAAACTGAATCCACATATCCTGCAACTAATCGTGATGTGATTAGATATGTCAGCTATATATGAAGAAATTATTCTGGCGTAAGTGTCCGCTATACTTACTTCGTTCTCTTTTGCAGTCATGCCATATGAATGTTTGGCAAAATGGCAAACTCATCGATCCTATCGACTGTCTTGATCTGCATCTCAGAGAAATAGTACTGAACGGCTGTCAAGGCAAGAGACGTGATGTGAGGTTAACTTTGCCAGGTTCTTTGTTTTGCATGCAAGGGTTCTCAAGGTAATGAAATTTGGTGTGTCTGATAACTGTGACGAGAAATGGATGGCTAATCAGTGCGGGCAGCTACACCTGGATAACAGAGCTTCTACAGATGCGCAGTTTTATTTCGAAAGTGATCGTGTTGAGTCCAGTTCTTACGATAACAAGCACATACATGATATGTGGATGCCTGATCCCTTCGATAGCTCATTCTGTAAATGCTTTAACCAGCTTGATACCCTTTCAGGAGATACGCTGTTTATCTTTGTCGCCTATTCTATTCGAAACATTCTAATTCTAGAGTCTTTGGAAGTGCATGTAAAAGCTACCTCTTGGTTTATCAAACTGTTAGGCAAAACCTGGGAAGATCATCTTATCATCATGTACTGCAAATTTCAGCATCCCCCCCCCCCCATGTTCTAGTCTGCCGTGGTGGTGTCCAAACTCTGGGTTTATTATTAGCTTTGATAACGAATTAGTGCTTGGCCGCTTGATGAAAAACGAAAAACTGGGCAGGCTTGAAGTGGTCTAGCATGCAGTATGCAGAAAGATCATGCGCCTATTTTTTGTGGTTCACCACCTGAATTGCTGAACTTCTGTCGATCATGTTTGTTCAATTTTTGATACACCCACCCCGATGTGCATATACACGTCTATGCTATGTAGTCTTTGTTCCTGAAAAGGAAATCTATGTAGAAAACGGCAGATTGGCGGGCATCTTACTTTGGTCTCTGAAAAGTGCAGGTAAAAGAGTTGCTACAATTGTTTGCTAGACTGCTATGCAAAACCTGGGAATGTTAGTTTACCATGCATTTACTGGAGACATTTCAGCGTGTCTTGTGCGCATGTTTTAGTTGGACAAAGTGTTGGGGGGAAGTCTAGGGAAATCTGGAAATTTTAGCTTAAGTTTTAGTTGGTTATTGGCTATTTGGCTTAGACAAGGGACAATGCTTTACCGTAATCGGTTATCCGCCACCAATGCAGTTTCTTGCAAAAATGGCAGTGGAGTCCTAAAAATGAACTAGAATACATACGGAAAGAATGGCGTGAATCCTATACCCGCACACTGACTTAATACTAGTGTAAAAAATACTCTTATATTATGGGGCGGAGGGAGTAACTTTTTGTTACCGTACATCTTTTTGTTACCATAATGAAGTAATGTATGTTTTTTGTTATCTCTATCTTGGTAACTGGTAATTGTTATATTGGAATTCAGAAGTCTGCAGAACCAGGGGAGTAGCAGGTTCTTGTGCAGTGGACTCCCTCTTACTTTGGCCTTTCATAGTGTATGCAAAGGAGTTTGTATTGTTTGTAAAACTGTCTTGCAAAACCTCGGGATATCAGCCTAGCATGTAATGTGCTATAATACATTTCAGTGTTTCCTGGGCAAAGTTTTGCGCAAAATCCGAGATTATATAATGAATCAGTGCCTGGTCGCAGAAATACCGACGATGTTGCAACCTGAAGAGCTCGCGGCACCGCTAATCCGTCCTCACGGGGGGACACCAGGGACATTGCAACAAGTCGTTTGTTGCTCATAGCACAACAATGCGGATGTTGCAGTTGCAATGCTTCGTGGTATGCAACACCCTGCGTGTTGCAATCTAGCACCATCGATGGTAGCGACATGCAACACCGCGACGATGCTACCCATTGCAACAAGCAATCGTGGTGGCAACCGGGCCTTGCAACATGTCTAAAAAAAGTAGTGCCCCTAACACCTTCGCAACAGGCATGGCGAGTTCACCCCTCCATCGAAATTCCCACCATTGCACGCGAACACATGCAAGAGATGAGCCAGGCGGCTAGTGGCAGGTGCGCATGCTGGGGCCGCGCTCTTGCCTTGGATTCGAAGGAAAACAACATGTGGTGTTGGATGCAGGGCGACGCCCATTGCGGAGCGCAGCTATCGAGGCGATGGCGCATGTGGTGGCCCCGTGGTTGCATCATGCGGGGGCTAGGGCGGCGTGTGTAGCGAACAAAGGCGGTGGCCGAGGCTGATGCACAAGGAGGGGGAGGGGTGGTATTGCTAAACAATGCGGTGGAGTAGGGGATCTCGAGTGTAAGAGGGCAGGGAGAGAGAGGCTCTCTTAGGAGAAGCAATGCAAGGAGCCAAGGAGAAAGGGGATCAATTCGATTGAAAAATGATGAGAGAAAGTGTATATGGTTCGCAGGGACACGTGGCATACGGGAAAGGAGGCCCACGAATGCGTAGCCGCTCTGCAATAGCTCCAAAGGGTTGCAATAAGGGTCATGTTGTGCGGACCATTCGATAAACTCAGATCGAAGGCCTGAGATCTTAGTCTTGATTTCGGGAAGGTTTTGATCGAGCATTGTAACCGCGAGTCAAATATGGTAGCTCATGTGCTAGGACAAAAAGGTTGTGATGATCCAACAAATGTGTGGTTGGACTCACCTCCTGGCTTTATTCGTAATTTTTTAGCTGATGGTGTAAGTGTTATTTAAATTTTAATAAAACTAGCCATAAAGGCCTTCCTCTAAAAGAACTCGGATTCAAGGCCACGGAGGTGGTCGATGCATGCATGAAGAGTTAGGGAAACTCCAACACGTCGATGCATTTGGTCCACGCGTGTTCGTTTTGGGTTGAAACGGACGAAAACGTGGGCCCAAAGCGTGATGCAAACCCAAATCTTGTCCGCTTGTCATCTGTGTGGACGCATTTCCGGTCCAAATTTGTGCCTGATTTGCGTCCACACAGACACGAGACAGACGTGCCACACATCCCCTCGGTGTCCACCTCGGGCCCGCGTGTCGGCCGCCCCACTACCACCCGCGGTCATAGTCAATGCGTCCACCTAACTTGGGCCCGCATGGCAACGGCGGGAAGCGTCGCTAGCCCATGGTCTTTTTAAATGGCAAGCGTGTGCAGGGGCACATCCACTTCTGATTTTCACTTCCGTCCACATCTGGCCACACGTGCCCCCTCGCTGGCAGCTAGGAAAACCTAGATGACATGGCCGGCTTCTTTGGCAAAGGCCCAAGGCCAAGCATGACACCGAGGCCAGCTCGTCGTGCGGTCCAGCGAGATGGACACTGGTGCCAGCTGAGGGGACGGGGGCGCTCGCCGGCCACAGGATAGGGTGGCATGAAGGAGGCACTCCAGCTCTTCACGGCATGCGATTGCGTCTATCCGCTACCGCCACTGTCACCACGGGTACCACCCACGCCCACGCCGGTGCTAAATTGCCCGATGGTGTCCTCGAGAGGTAGCAGTGGACAGGTGTCGCTCGGGAGTGGTTCAACACGCCGGCTGTGTGGATGCACTCCACTGACGAGGAGGAGGTGCAGCACTCGAGGTCTAGAAGGCGCACTAGCTGGCGGACGAGCGGGCTGACGCGGAATGGCGGATGCAGCGAGAGCACGAGGAGGACGAGGAATGGCGGCAACAGGCGGAGGAGGCGTGTGCGCTGCGCTAGGCAGGAACAGCCGCCAAGGCAGACGCCAAAGGAGGCGGCGTTGGTGGTCTACCGGCAGGCCTTTCTTTAGGCAGAGGCACTGGTGTACTTTGACCTCACGAGCTCTAACTCTTAGAAGGACGACTAGGGCTGCCGGATGCGGCGGGTGGGGAGTGCTTTATTTTTTTGAAGTTTTATTTATATTTTACGTATAAATGAACTTTGGCGGCGTTCTTTATTACGTTTTATTATTTATATTAATATGCATGCCTATTTGTTAGTTTTTTATTAAAACCATGCGGACTAAAATGCATAGGCGGCGTTGGATGCACCGACAAATCAGACATGTGCATCCGTTTTGCCGATCTAAACGGATAAATAGCACCGACAAATCGGACACGCTCATCCGTTTTGCCGATCCAAACGAATAAATAGCGGACAAAATCATGTTTTGCGTCGGGCGGTTGGAGTTGCCCTTATCGTCCGGATGAGACCCTAGTTTTTTTTTCTTTCTTATAGAAAAGAGATTTTTTGTGATATGTTATACGTGTGTATATCGTACACATTCCAAACCCGTTAAATAGATCGCTCGGGGGTGACAGAAGATTCCAACCTAATTCTCGGATTTTTTGGGCGGCGGCGTCCATGAACGATGTGGCGGCTTCCCTATCCAAGAAGCGGAGGCGGGACGATCCGCAATCTCCGGCGAGCAGGGGCGTCAGCGGCGGCGATGGTGCGAGCCTCGCCCTCGACCTCATCAGCTGCCTCCCTGACGAGATCCTCGGCACCATCATCTCTCTCTTGCCCACCAAGGACGCCGCGCGGACAACCGCTCTCTCTTCCCGGTGGCGCTACCTCTGGTGCTCCGCCCCGCTTAACCTCGCGGTCGACTACCTCGTCGGCCATATCTGGCGCACCGCCTCGTTCAACCGCGACGTCGACTACAAACCTGTTTACCGCCAGGTGAGCGAGCGCATCGCCGTCATCGTCTCCAAGATCCTCGCCGTGCATACCGGCCCCGCTCGCCGCCTCTCCTTCGGTGACCGCCACGGCATCCACCTCAGCCGTGACCTCTGCGCCAAGTTCGACGGCTGGTTCTGGTCCCCCGCCTTCGATGGCCTCGAGGAGCTTGATTTCTACTTGGGCGACAATCCGTGGTGGACGCTGCCGCCGTCCGTGCTCCGTTTCACGCCCACGCTGCGCATGGTCAGACTGTGCGGTTGTGATTTCCACGAGATTAAAGTTACCCCCTCACTTCATCTCCCTCGGCTGAAGGAGCTCAAGCTCTGTGGTGTCGCTATCTCGGAGGCGACCCTCCACTGCCTGCTCGCTGCCTCCACTGCGCTAGAGAACCTTCAGCTTGATAACATCCAGGGGCCCAGCTCCGTCCGGATCATCTCGTCCACTCTACGGAGTGTTGGTGTCGCTGGTTCTTACTCCTACGGTGAAGAGTCCCTGCTTCAGGAGCTTGTCATTGAAGATGCACCTTGCCTTGAGAGATTGATCACACTTGGTCCATTTGGTGGCCCGAGGATAGTCAGAGTCCTTGCGGCGTTGAAATTGATGGTGTTGGGCTGCTTGTCTAGCGAAAATTTCAAAACTGTGAATGGAGAAATTCTGCAGGTAAAAAACTTGCATGCATTTCGGTATTTTCTACTTGCAATCTATTGATGCGTGTGTATCTGTTTTCTCTAGGAAATTGTCCCCACTAGCTTGACCACGTCGGGACGCACAGTGAAGGTTTTGATTCTAGAATCTATCGGCCCCAATCTAAATGCAGTTGTTGGCTTCCTTAGATGCTTTCCCTGTGTGGAGAAGCTATACATCCAGGTGAAAATCTTTGTTGTTAAATCTAGTTACATGGTATTTTAACTTTGATCAATTATCACTAGTAGAAAAAGGGGGCTTTAGTCCAGGCCGGGTAACCCCATTAGTCCCGGTTCAGTCCAGAACCGGGACCAATGGGTGCATTAGTCCCGGTTCGTGCGGCTAAGGCATTAGTCTCAGTTCACCTAGGCCCTTTAGTCCCGGTTCATGCCACGAATCGGGACTAAAGGGTGCGATGCCCATTAGTCTCGGTTGGTAGCACCAACTGGGACTAAAGGTCTAACCTTTAGTACCGGTTGGTGCCATCAACCAGGACTAATGGCCTTTGAGGCATTAGTACCTGTTCATGGCACGAACCGATACTAAAGGTCCAATTTTCAAACTCTCTCTTCCCCTCCCCCTGGACCGCCTTTTCAGTTTTAGAAAAAACAAAAAAAATGATGGAAATATCAATAAAATAAAATAAAATAAGTTTCCCATGTGATATGTGGTCTAGTTGTTGGGAAAATTTACAAATATGAATTTCGACTTTATTTATAAAATCTCTCTGGAATTTGTAAAATGGGCATAACTTTTGCATACGAACTCGGATTAAAAAGTTTTTTATATGAAAAATCATCTACTCGAGAAGTTACATCCGATGGAGACCGCCTATGGCCTGTTTGCAAATTTGTAGAATCCTCAAATTCCAAAAGGAAAAAAAGTTATGCTCAAATTTCAGTTTTTTTTAAATTTTCATTAAATCTGGTCAAAGTATGGTCAAACTACTTATTCAAGAAGTATTAGTGTTACTACATAATTATTCAAGAATATTAGTGTTATTAAATAATTATTTCAGTTTTTTTGAATTTTGGTCAAATCTGGTCAAACTATGGTCAAACAATGGTAAAACTACTTATTCAAGAAATATTAGTGTTACTAAATAATTATTGTTTTTTAAAAACAATAGTTTCAAACTCAAACAGTGAAATGTGTGACTTCATGCTCAAGCTAAAATCCTGAGGGTTAATAGGATTAACATCTTACTATTGTCAGGAAAACAACGAGTGCAGACTTGGAAACGAGGGAGAATAGAACCTGGAAGTTAAGCGTGCTCAGGCTGGGGGAGTGGGAGGATGGGTGACCGTCCGGGAAGTTAGATGATTTGGAATGATGAGGGGTGATTAGAGATTAAATTGAGCAGTAATGAGAGAGGTGATTAGAGATTAGAGGTTAAAATAAATCAGACCGTCCCAGAAGTTAGATGATTTGGAATGACGAGGGGTGATTAGAGATTAAATTGAGCAGTAATGAGAGGGGTGATTAGAGATTAGAGGTTAAAATAAATCAGAAATTTGAAAATAAAAAAATTCAAAAAAAATCAAAAAAAATCAGAAAATTACCTTTAGTACCGGTTGGTGTTACCAACCGGGACTAAAGGTGGACCTCCAGGCAGCGGCCACGTGGAGGGCCTTTAGTCCCGGTTCTGGTTTGAACCGGGACTAAAGGGTCAGGGCATTAGTACCGACCCTTTAGTCCCGGTTCATGAACCGGGACTGCAGGCCATTTTTCTACTAGTGTATATATCTCTGGAAGTTTGGTTTGGACGTAATATTTAGTACATTTTGGTAAAATTAGCCTCCATAGTAAAGATTGTTGTGTAATTTTTCCCCCTATAATTGTACAATGAAAAATATGGTAGTCAAAACTACACGTAGGAGATTTTTAAGTTAAAATGAAGTAAGGGGATTACATTGTTCAGTAATCCCTAATTAATTCAATCATCATGCAAATACAACTAATCCTTATCTAACTAGGTGCCAACTATGTAAAATCATTGTTTCCCTGCCCACAGTAAAGTCACTCTTTTTATCACGACCTAAGTGGCCACCAATACCTATTTTGTTCTTTTGCAGTCACGCCATAGGAAGGATATGAAAAATGTGTGCCAATATAGCACACTCGATCCCATCGAATGCCTTGAACTCCATCTCAGAGCAATAGTTTTGAACACCTATGAAGGCAAGAGAGCAGATGTTAACTTTGCCAAGTTCTTTGTTCTGAACGCAAAGGTGCTCAAGGTAATGAAATTTGGTGCCAGTGGTACCTGCAATGATAAATGGGTGGCTAATCAGCGCAGGTGGCTACAACTGGATATCAGTGCTTCCAGAGGTGCAAGATTTTATTTTAAAAGAGATTTTGATATCCCCAGCTTTTGCGATCACTATCACTTTCATGGTATGTGGACAGTTGATCCCTTTGGTAGCTCGTAGTGCAAATGTTGTTGTCTGGTATGATGCCCTTTCAGTGGAGTCTCTTGCAAAACAACAGTAGCCTAAAGTATGCTGAAATTTAGAAGTTTCGGAGCCAGGGGATATATGTGTCTCAGGGTGGACACGGTCCGGGCCGGTTCGGTCCCTAACCGAGCCGCCGTTTGGACCGGCCGGCGGCAGACCGGATCAGACCGGACCGAGCAGCTCCTCGGTCCTCTTTTCCTGGACCGGACCGGCAGTGGTAAAGCTCGGGCCAGACCGAGTGGACCGCCCATGTTGGTGTACGGCCACGGCGAGTGGCGGCGGACGGTGACGGCGAGCGGCAGCGCACGGCGACGGGAGTCTATAGGGTATGGGAAGGAGAGGAAGGAGAGGGGAAGCAGCCGCGGGATCGGTCATGATCTCCGAGATGTGTGGATCGGATAGAGTAAAAAGGAAAGAAAACAAAAGAACGCTGATCACGCGCATCGCAGAATCGTGTGCTGGGTTGTTTTTGAGTTGTGTTGTTTCGGTTAATCGAGTTGGACCGAGCTAAAGCCGGACCGGATCGATACTTTTACGTGCCGATATTTCGTAACCGGACTGACCATATTCTTGAGCGGGCCAAGACCGTACGGTCCGGTCCATAGCGGGCCGCGAGCCGGGCAGAAAGCCCGCTCGCCACGTCCAGGCTGATATGTGTCTATGCTCTTTCCATACTGAAATAAATTCGTTTCTATCTCTGAAGTATAGTGGACTTCAGAAGTCCGCAGAACCAGAGTTCAGAAGTCGGCAGGGGATTAAGGGCATCTCCAGCCGCGCCCCCAGAAAGGCCTCCCCAGCGATTTTTTCGCGCCGACACCAAAAAAACGGCCCAGTCGCGCCTCCAGAAGCCCGATTTTCGCCGGCCTGGGTCGAAAACAGCGCCGGCGGACCCAGGCCGAACCCGGCGCGCTGGGGGGCGCCGGGGCGAACTGTTTTGGCACGAAACAGCCACGGGCCCGCCGCGTCAGCGACACGGCGCCTCGTCTTCCCCCAACAGCCTCGGTTCCCGCGGGGAATCAATGCCAAGGCTGCCGCCGGTCAGCCTTGCCATTGATTCCTCACGGGCGGCGCGTCACGGGACGGCGCGCCGATGCCTCCCCTCCCTCACACGCGTACACACGGGTGCGGCGCGGCTATATAGCCGGTGGCCTGCACTCGCCTGTGCCCACACCAGCCCCGCCCCCTGCCGTCGCCCAGCTCCTCCCTCTCCCTACCTCTCTCGAGCGTCGCCGCCCCGCCCCTCCCTCTATCTCTCTACCTCTCCCGAGCCTGTCGCCATGGCGGAACGCTTCCCCGGAGACGAGGTGGCGGCCAACGGCTTCGGCCGCCGTTCGCTCTGCGAACAGGAGTCCTGGCTCCTGTTCTAGGCGAACATCCCGGCGCCGCCGGACATGCGCGCCGGGCCGACAGGGTGAAGGCTCAGCGCCGGGGGAGTGCCCATTCCCCCGTTGCCCGACGCCATGGCGAAGCCGAAGTACTTCGCCGAGGAAGTCGAGGTCGTGCGCGCCTCCCTTACCGACGCCGAACTCTCCCTCCCCCAGTACGCCGCTGACAACCACGCGGCTTGGGCGGCGTATTTCGAGCGCCGCCAACAGCAGCGCTTGGCGTCCATCAACGGCGCGCCGGTGGTTGGTGGCCGGCAGAACAGCGAGGGGCGCCACCTGTGGTGGGGTGTCCCCGGCCGCACACTCGAGGGCGTGCTGATGTACCTCGAGGGCGGCAACGACCCGCCGTTGGCGTACCCTGCGAGGGCGGCCGCCCCGGCGCAGCACCGACACGCCGGGCCATGGGCGCCAAGGAGGTTCAGGTCCTCCTCCTCTTCCTCCTTCCGATCTTCATCGCACTCCTCCGGCACTCCGGCCCTGCTCGGCGTCAAGGCCGAGCCCACGGCGGAGACGCCGCTCGGCCGACGCACTCACAGCGCCGGCATCGTCATCAACGAGGGCGGCCGGCGTGCCTACTCGTCGGCTCCTCCTCCGCGCTTCGTCAAGCCGAAGACGGAGTCGGGGCTCGCGCCGGTAAAGAAGGAGCCGGCCGCGCCGGTGACGACGGAGCTCGACGACGACGACGCGGCCCTGGAATGGGCGCGCAGGGACTCCATAGCGATGGAGAAGGAGCGCCTGGAGAAGGCGAAGGAGCGCCAGTGCGCCTCCCTGCTTCGCTTCGCAGAGCGTCGATGCGGCCGCGACGAAGGCGGAGTCGTCGTCATCTGCGACAGCGACGACGACGACGACGATGCGCCGCCACCAGTCCGCCATGGCGACGCCGGGCAGGGGTCCAGCAGGGGCGCCCGTGTCAAGGAGGAGAAGGCCGCCGCCGACGACGACGGCGACGGCGGCGACTTCAGCCAGTTTTTCCTTTAGATTAGTTTATGTATATGTGCTATGTAATGAAAATCCGCGAACTTCGCCGAAATGTGCCGAAATTTATCGTGTTTGGCCGAATTTTATCGTGTTTAAGCCGAACTTCGCCGAACTTTTTTTTATTTTAAAACATGCCTGGGGGCGGCCCTGGGGCCGGCGGCTAGGGACCAACTCGCCCCAGGCCCAATTTTTGCGCTGGCTCACCCCCAGGCGGCGATTTTAGGCGTCCCCTGGGGGGCCAACGGCTGGAGATGCCCTAAGTAAGCACAAGCTCCTGCCTCAACCGGTGGAAGGGAAGGGCATCCTCTTACTTTGGTCTCTGAATATTTATGTAAAAGAGTTTGTATTGTTTGCAGAACTGTCTTGCAAAACTATCATGTGATTTGCCACGTTTCAGTGGGTCCTGTAATCTTTCAGTTGGCCAAATTAGGTGTTGTGCATAATCTGATGTCATTTGATTATATCATAATGAATTAGGCCAACTCCACCACACGACCTCATCTTGTCCGGGTGCGTTCGTTTAGGGTAGAACGGACGAATAGCGCGGCCCAACGCACAGCCCCAAACAGAAAAATGTCCAGCTTCCGTCCGCTTTCGACCCATCCCGGGCCAAACTTGCGCCGAGTTTGGGGTGAAACGGACATCGCGCGGACAGGCTCGCCGCATGCCCTTGTCTCCCCGTGGCCCGCCTGTCGGGGACACTAGCAGTCCCTTCGCTTCCAACGCTTCCACCCCCTTTCCTTGCCCCGCCCGCCCCGCCCCGCCGCCGGTGCCGCCGCTATTCTCTGGCCGCCTCCTCACCGCGCAGCCCCCGACCGTTCATACCAAACCACGAGTCGACATGGCGGCCACCACGCCCGCGCTTTCGCCGTAGTTTTGACCGTTGATCGGAGGAGGTTTGGCCGTTGACGTCGTAGCCGGCGGCAGAGGGGATACAACCGCTGGCGACGTACCACGACGGCCACGACAGCTTCCGACGAGTGCTCCAGAGCGGCCAGTAGCCGGCCGCCAACCACCCCTGCTGCATCGAGGTGATCATCGTGGCCTCTTTGCCACCACGACCGTAAGGTGTTCGACACTTTGCCCACAAAGGTATGGACAGTGGAGATGAGTTTTTTCTTCCACCACTTCATTTGTTCATTAGACGATTCGTCGTCAGATGATGAAGATCTTGTGGTGGCTGCACTGGTCGTTCATGGCCACATTCAACGGCAGCTTCCTCGGTACAGGGGGTCACTCCCTGGTCGTCCTCCCAACCTGAACCGCAACAGGAAGAGAGGCCACGCCCTGCTCTATGCCGATTACTTTGTGAACACCCCGCTCTTCAAGCCGGATAAATTCCGTCGCTGTTTTCGAATGGCAAGGCATGTGTTCAATCGTATCCGAGAGGGAGTGGTTGCTCATGACCCATACTTTGAGTGCAAGAGGGATGCCATTGGCAAGCTTGGATTCTCCTGTTACCAGAAATGCACCGCGGCCATCCACATGCTTGCATATGGAATTCCAGGCGATCTGGTGGATGAGTATGCGCGTATAAGTGAGACAACATGTCTGATATCAATGTACAAGTTCTGCCAGGCTGTGATCGAGGTGTTTGGCCCGGAGTACTTGAGGCAGCCAATTGCCGCTGATACAGAGAGATTGTTGGCGACCAACGCAGCTAGAGACTTTCCAGGCATGCTTGGCAGCATATATTGTATGCACTGGGAGTGGAAGAACTGTCCATTTGCTTGGCAGGGCCAGTACAAGGGGCATGCCAAAGCATGCACTGTCATATTAGAAGCGATGGCTTCGCAGGATCTTTGGATATGGCATTCTTTCTTCGGCATGGCAGGTTCTCACAATGATATCAACGTGCTGTAGCGTTCTCCAGTCTTCGCAAGGCTTGCAGAAGGACACTCCCCACCTGTCAACTTTGAGATCAACGGCCACCAGTATAACAAGGGATACTATCTAGCAGATGGTATATATCCTAAGTGGTCAACTTTTGTGAAGACAATCTCGAACCCCCAAGGTGAGAAGAGAAAGAGATTTGCCCAAATACGAGAGAGTGCTAGAAAGGATGTGGAGCGTTCTTTTGGCGTGCTTCAATCCCAATGGGGTGTCGTTCGAAACTTTGCACTGTCATGGAATGAAAGGAAGCTTTGGGAGGTGATGACTGCTTGTGTAATCATGCACAACATGATCGTCGAGGACGAGCGTGATGACAGTATCTTCGACCAAGGATTTGATTATCAAGGTGAAAATGTTGAGCCCCTGCACCAAGAACCAACCACGTTTGAACAGTTTGTCCAATTCCATCGTGAGCTGCGTGATTGGCACACTCATTTGGATCTTCAAAATGACTTGTTTGAGCACGTGTGAGATCACATTGACAACCAATGAATGTATTGATTCATTTTATGTTCATTCAAGACAATTTCGATTTGGTTGTAAAACTATTTTATTAGAGACAATTTTGATTCGGTTGTAGAACTATTTTTATTTTGAGTTGGACGTGCAAACTTGTTTCGATATGAAAATATGGGCATTTTTGGCCCTGGCGGACAGGATGGGACAAACGGATGCGGCTGCGTGCTAGGCGCACGGCCACCGCATCCCCGGACAGGCCTG